GGAGTTGAGGTTATTGCCTTACCTTTTTCAATTTAAAATTTTTGTCATGTAATCTCTTTGTCCCACTCCCTTCAGGGATTTTCTTTTGAGTCTCAAGCGACTAGTTAGAAAGCATTAGAAACAACAACAACAAAAAAAACCCAACCAACCAACCAACAACTAAACCAACCAACAACTAAACCAAACAACCAAACAACCAACCAACCAACCAACCAACAACTAAACCAACCAACCAACCAACCAACCAACCAACCAACCAACCAACCAACTAAACCAAATGAACAAATTAATGTAAATGTATTTTTTGGTTTGCTTTTCTTGTAGAAAAATTAATGTAAATGTATTTTTTCTTTTTACTTTTCTTGTAGAAAAATAGTGATGCTTCTGTGTTCACTGACTCATTGGAGAAAAGGTATGAGTGTGTAAAAAAAAAATAAAATCAGAAAGACTGACACTTCAAGATCCTGTTTCCTCGATGTAACAGAATCCACCTATGAACACTGTTGGTCTGGTGTTGGGCATCTGGATCAACTTTGGCCAATTGTGGTTCTTTTTCAGGAATCTTAGAATTGCAACCCATAAAGCATAGCCTTTTGTTAGGTGTTAATATTTTAAGATATAAAACTTGAGAGTTATTAATGGTCTTGTTTACTGTCATATACACAGAGAGGAAATTCACCTACAGACAAAGAATAAGGGGGACTTGAAAAGAAGAAGAGAGATGACAGACACAGTAAGGAACTTAATAGCATTTCTTCTAGAACCTGGTCCTAGGGGTGCTGGATTTTAACTATATTCTTATAAGTTGCATTTCTGTTACTTGTGACTCAGAGTCCTATAACAAATATACCCACTCTTCACAGGGTTTCTATAAAGTTTAGGGACAGTAAGACCTTTTAGTCTCTTAGTATAATGTCTGGCACTTAATAAGTATACAGAATGCTGCTGTTCTTTTCACAGTTTGCTTTTTGATATGTGACTTATCATTACTAAGATTTCCTATCACTATTTATGTTTGTCCAAGATAAAATGATTTACTTATTCACCATCTATTTTGTCCATGTCACAGTTAAGGACTCACACTTGTTCCTTATCACCATCACATGCTTTTAGGCACCATCACTTATTTAGTGCAGTTCTCACACATAGTAAGCATTAGATGATTTGTTCAATGAATGCGTTTGGGATATAATGTGGTAATAATTGTTTAATTTCGGTGACTTAAGAATAAAGAAACAAAAATATCACTCCTAACTGTTGCTATATATATTGAAGTTAAAACTGACAAGTAGTGAAAAAATTTGACTTTTTCTTGAAAATGTTTGATAAAATTTCTATTGAATAAAGGGCTCTTTGGTTTTGTATTTAATTGTGAAAACTGAGATACTCCTGCAGGTTTGAGATTTCTTTAATAAAATGCTACATGTAAGGCAATCACATTCTGAATTTACGTTAACTAATGGAGAAAGACAGCTGTACTTGGGATTAGTGTGTTTGGGGCAAAGGTGCAGAATATTACCATTCTACAAAATTTGCTACATGTCTTTTACTATACATTCTGTCTTTATATTTTTTAATATACAGATTTTCTTTGGGAGGCTGAGGCGGGTGGATCACGAGGTCAAGAGATCGAGACCATCCTAGTCAACATGGTGAAACCCTGTCTCTACTAAAAATACAAAAAATTAGCTGGGCATGGTGGCGCGTGCCTGTAATCCCAGCTACTCAGGAGGCTGAGGCAGGAGAATTGCCTGAACCCAGGAGGCAGAGGTTGCAGTAAGCCAAGATCGCGCCATTGCACTCCAGCCTGGGTAACAAGAGTGAAACTCTGTCTCAAAAAAAAAAAAAAAAAAAAAAAAATACAGATTTTAAAAGATATTTCAAAAATGCCTGCTTTGTTGCATGATTTATGGTAGGGAAATGAGCATTTTTCTAGGAAAGCATGTTAATATTAACTTTTACTATTTGAGCGAAATGTTGACTTAACAAAGGTGCTTTCCTAATGACTTACCTGGCTTGACATTCTTTTGTGATTTAGTACTATGAAAGTTATACATTGTCAATCAATAAGTTTTGTAGTTTTCTTTGCTACTCCAGTGTGGACACAAAATATCTCTGAAGAGACTTCAAATTTGTCCCTTTTTACTTACTTTAAAACAATTCCTCTCAACTACTACTCTTTCCAATAGAGCTTTGTCACTCTTTTGGAAAAAAAGAATATTGGGCTGTTACCTAATAAAAGCTGTCAAGAATAAATTGTACAACTGCAAGGAAAAAGTCGTGTTGATCTTATCTGAAAACAGATGGAGAAGATTCCTAGTTTAAATCATGGAATGGAAGAAAAAGAACTGGCTTTGAAGAAATAAAAGTTTGTTTTGTGCTGTTTTTGTTTGCCATGGATGCTTTAAGAAACTAGTGAAAGCTAGGACTCCTCTTCCTAGAGGAAATTTTAAATCAGTTATACAAAATTCTTTATGACATTCAGAGACTTAACAACATGCTGGAAGTCTTCTATGAATTCTGTAAGAACACTTGCTCTCAAGAAAAACATGCAAAGAGTAACGATTATTTAATACTTAACTAAGTTGCTTTCCATGAAAATCTGTTTAAATAGCCTTTGTTGTTTTACTTCTGAACTGACTTAGTATCAGTTTGCTGAAATACTGAGATACTGAGGGCAGTTTCTGCCTTAAATCTTTAGATGATGTTTTCTGTGAAATGCATGTGCATTCATATTACAAATACTGAAACTGAGGGAAGCATCTGCTCTGTCTGAAATAGTTCTCACTATAATAAAACATGTTTCATAATTTGGGGTGGGGAGAATCAAATTACAAAGAGTTGGTTATATAGGATTAGATGGAAATTCAGTTTAAGTTCATTAATCATAAGTAAATACACTGAAATGCTCTGAGCATTGTCCTCTAATATCATAAATAAAATTGAGATGACTTACTCTTTATGGAAAACAGTAAGTTAAGAAGAAAAAAATTGCCTGGGGGAAATGTATTACGATTTCTGTCTTAAACATTTCAAAAGTCAAAATTCTTCTGCTGGTGGCAATTAGTTCATACGTAGTTTGCCAGAGTGTTTAATACGCAGGATCATATCAGCCCTCTAATGCTATTTGCTTTTAAAAATATGAATGGATATCATGATAGATAAAGGCTTCTTGATACTTTCCTTCACTAGATTAAGGTTAGAGCAAAAATGTATTTTTTATATATTTCCGTAAGATGCCTCTAACATGGATACTGGTAATAAATAGTATCCTCTGGTGATACAACCAACCCATCATTTCTGCCAAAGCCACTTCCCTATCTCTATGTATCATCATAGAATTTCAAAGTACTCTGTTTCTGTAGTGGACAGTTTATTTAATTAAAACAATTTTAGGTAATATACTGAAACTTGCCTAAAGGATTTCTTTGAAATATTATTTCTTATTTTCCTAGAAGAAACATATTGTGACTTTCTGGAAAATTTAAGACTGGCATCCTGAAAAATGTGACCAATGAGTGCTATGCTGAGGTCAAGTAGCAGTTACTCAGATGCTTATAAATATTTGTATGTCCATCCCAGTCTCCCAACTGTTTTGGATAAAATTTCTACATATGAATATTAATGATGTCTAACTCTTCACTATATTTCAATGATTACTCCATGCTGAAATTTTACTGCGGGTTATAGAAAAATAATTAAAATATTTTTCCCAGTAGAGATTATCTTATCACTGAATGGACAACTGGGGTCAGTCTTTCTGGAATCTTCTGAAAAGCCATGTGAATTGCCACTCAGAATTGTCTCTTGGAGGGACCAAGGAGGAGAATAATTCAAGAATCACCTACTAACTTACATTCCCCATTAATAAAGACTTGTCCCATGGCTATTAGTCTTTTGAGGTCAAGATTATATATACATGTGTGAACCATGCCAAGATGTCAGGAAGATACCAGGGAATATGTCACAGCTGAAGTAAGGAGTCACCAGTTTATACCTCTACAAAGTTCATTGCTACATCAATGACTCAAGTAAACAGTAGGCAAAGAGGATATAAAGTAGACAGAAGAAATATTCAATTGCATGACAAACATCACCTCCCACCCACCTGCTCCCACCAGTATTATTATTAAGATCACCGATTTCTTAATATCTAGAAATAGCTTGAGAACTTTTTGCAAATATTGATAATTTTCTGTACAGAAATAGTATAACATTTATTCCTAACTTCTAGAACTTACAACATAATTATTTTAAGTTATGTTAGGGGCTTATATATGACCTATGTAATCAGAAATGTTATTTTAACTATAAAATCTGTTCATTCATGTTAGCAAACATTTATTGAGTGCTCACCTAGTGCTAGAACTATGTAAAGTGCATAGAAACACTTTAGAGTTTAGAAACAGTTTTAGAAATAGGAAAATAGTCTGGTCCTTTCTCCTAAGGAGCTCAGATAAAACATTTCAGATTTACTGATTGTGACCAATAGAAATCTGCTCTAACTTAAGCAAAATGTAATTTATGGGAATAACAAGAGAATCATAGGCTTGAGAACTAGTATAGAAAGAGGTAGCAATCAAGGAATCGCCAGACAGTAGAAAAAGAAACATGGCCCACTCTAATAGCGAGAATTACCTACTGACTTCTATTTCCCATTAATGAAGACTTGTCCCATGGCTGTTAATCTTTTGAAGTCAGCAACTACTAATATTATGAATGATTGATCTCCAACTGTTTCTTTTCTTCTTTTACAACTCAATTAAGATTCAAAGTCCCAGAAGAGAGCACAAAACTTCCCAAGCTTGGGTTTGTTTCTTGACTGACCACAGGGGAGAGGAGGCTAGCTTTTTTGATTGTTTATAGAAGATGGTCTCTCCCACCCAAGACTATCCACAGCAAAGAAGCAGCAGTTGTGTATTAGTCAGGATTATCTAGGCCAGAAATAACAGGATAAAAGAATATATGAAAAGGAGTTTATATAAAAAGAGTTGACTCACATGATCACAAGGCGGAGTCCCATTATAGGTCAACTGCAAGCCAGTAGTGTCTCAGTGTGAGTCTCAGAACCTCAAAAGTAGGGAAGCTGACAGTGTAGCCTTCAGTCTGTGGCCAAAGCTCCGAAAGCCTCTGACAAACCACTGGTATAATTCCAAGAGTCCAAAGGCTGAAGAACCTGGAATCTGATATTCAAGAGCAGGAAGCATCCGGCACAGGAGAAAGATAAATCCTGGAAGAATCAGAAAGTCAGCTCATTTCACCTTCTTCCACTTGCTTTTCCTAGCCAGGCTGGCAGCTGATTGAATGGTACCCATCCAGATGGAGGGTGGGTCTGCCTCTCCCAGTCCACTGACTCAAATGTTAATTTCCTCTGGCAATACTCTCACAGATACACCCAGGAACAATACTTTGCACCCTTCAATCCAATCAAGTGACACTTAATATTAACCATCAAAGTCCATCCCTTGTCAACTTGAACCCGTATATAGCTTCTGAAATTTTACTTAATCTCCAAATAAAGGCAATAATAAGGTCATAATTACACTAACATAAAACAGCTATCCATATAACCAGAAGCACACTGATCCTGAACCTAAATGCTATTACACCAAGTTAACAACACCTAAATGCTGATATGCAGTCAATAAATCTTATGTCACATGATAAAGGAAAACAAAGAAAATAAAATGAAGAATTTTCTCAGTACCACTGTATACATCCACAAACATATTGCTAACAAAATAGGGAGAAAAAATTCATAACAATTATAGTCCTCATTTCTGCAACTAGTCACGTGGTCATAGCTCCCTTTTTATACTACCCATTCTGCATTCCCTTTGCCTTCAGCAAATACCTCAGCTTGCTGTGGATTTTTACCTGGTGTAGTGACCCAAACCTTCATTCCTGAAGGTTCTGGGCCATTTGTAGTCCTGCCTGGATTGAGTCATTATAGTTTCCCATTGACCTTAACACAGAGCATGGTAATACTAAGAGAAGTTCTCAGAGATCTCCTAGGATGCATTCTATACACACTCTTCCTTACCTCTCTTGTAAAGTAGTAGACTGATTTTTATCATGATAGTTTGGGTCAATCACCCCAGCCAACACTGTAATTCCCTGCTTAGCTTGTTGACTTAGAGGTAGGAGGAGACTAAAGTGTCCATGTGGCAACCTTAACTTCCACTTCAACAGAATCATTGTTGTGTCTCCTCTTGGCAGCATCCCTCCCTCTGGAACTAAGACCTTTAGGCCAGCAGAAAATAATGTTGTGGAAAGAGGAAGCAAAAATTTTCCTGGTGGATCACTAGGGATGATGGTGAGTAGTACCACTTCCACTTCCACCCCTTGATTCCTGGACCTGTGAATCCTGGCTGTGGGAGAAACAGTACCATATATTGAATGCTGATGCAGAGCATACACAGCCTTATGCATGCTATACAGGCACCATCAGACTAGTATTGTCACCTAGTTGGCATTGTAATTGTGACTTTAAAAGCCCATATCACTGTTTTACCAATCCAGCTGCTTCAGGATGATGGGGAACATGGTAAGACCAGTGAATTCCATGAGCATAAGCCCACAGCTGCACTTCATTAGCTCTGAAGGGTGCCTTGGTCAGAGGCAATACCATAATGGCGGATAAGACATTCCATGAGTCCACAGATGGTAGTATTGGCAGAAGCATCGCATATAGGATAGGCAAACCCAAACCCAGAGTAAGTGTCTATTTCAGTGAGGAAAAACCACTGCCCTTTCCATGATGGAAGAGGTTCAGAATATCGACCTGCCACCAAGTAGCTGGCTGATCACCCAAAGGAATGGTTTCACATTAAGGGCTCAGTATTTGTCTCTGATGCTGGCAAATTGGGCACTCAGCAGTGACTGTAGCCAGGTCAGCCTTGGTGAGTGGAAGTCCATGTCGTTGAGACCATGGATAACTTCCATCCCTGCCACCATGGCCACTTTGTAAGTGGGTTCATTGGGCAATGACAGGGGTGGCTAGGGAAAGAGGTTGAGTGGTATCCACATAATAAGTAGCCATCCTATCTACTTGATTATTAAAATCCTCCTCTCTTGAGGTCACCCTTTGGTGAGCACTCACAGGAGATGCAAATATCTTCACAGTTTTTGATCACTCAGGGCTATCTACATACTTCTTCCCCATATTTCTTTGTCACCACACGTGTGGCCACTTCTCCCTACAGCAAAGTGCACAACCAAGTTCACTGCTCAAAGTTCTGCCTACTGGGGAGATTTCTTTTCACTGCTAACTTTCAGGGATGTCCTAAGGGCCTATAATGCTGGAACTGTCCACTTTCTGATGGTGCCTGTACAGCATGCAGAATCACGTATAAACCAGGCTCTAGTCTTCTCTTTCTCTGTCAACTTATTGTAGGGAACTACCCATGAGGCCATTGGTGCAGGCTCAGGGAGAGAAGACAGGCTGACAGGAGTGGGGACCATATACATTTGAACAATTTCCTCATGTAACTTATTTGTGCCTTCAGGATCTGCTTGAGCCCAATCCTGTATACGCTACTTCAATTTGATGATGAAATGCCGCTCTGCACACCCAACTTTATGGCTGGATGGGTCAGAAAGCATCCAGTTCATAATAGGCAGCTCAAGTCACATGGCAACTTGGTGACCCATAGTCAAATGTTCAGTTTTGACCAAGGTCAGTAAGAGGCCAAGAGCTGTTTCTCAAAAGGAGAGAAGTTATCTGCAGGAGATGGCAGGGCCTTACTCTAAGATCCAAGAGGCCTCTGCTGTGATTCACCTATGGGGTCCTGCCAAAGGCTCCGAACAGCATCCCTATCTGCCACTGACACCTCAAGCTCCATTGGATCTGCTGGGTCATATGGTCCAAGTGGCAGAGCAGCTTGCACAGCAGGCTGGATCTGTTGCAGAGCCTTCTTCTCTTCTGAACACCACTCAAAACTGGCAGCCTTTTGGATCACTTGAGAAATAAGCTGGAGTAACACACCCAAATTAAGAATGTGTTGCCTCCAAAATCCAAATAGGCTCAGTAGCTGTTGTGCCTCTTTCTTGGTTGTAGAAGGGGACAAATGCAACAACTTATCCTTAACCTTAGAAGAAATATCTTGACAGACTCCACACCACTAGACCCCTAGAAATTTTACTGAGTTGGAAGGTTTATGAATTTTAGTCAGATTTATTTCCCATCCACTGGCATGCAAATGTCTCAGCATCTCTGCAAACAAGATTACGATACAAAGCTGGAGAGTTGATTTATCTCTAGGTAGGACAGTGAAGGTATATTTCTGGCCCTGCCAGCTGAAGGCAAATTGCTTTTGGTGGTCCATACAGACAGGAATGGAGAAAAAGTCATTTGCCAAATCAATGGCTACATACCAGGTACCAGGAAATGTGTCAATGTGCTCAAGCAATGCAACCACATCTGGTACAGCAGCTGCAATTGGAGTAACCACTTGGTTAAGCTTATGATAGTCCACTGTCATTTTCTAAGATCCATCTGTCTTCTGCACAGGCCAAATAGGACAGTTGAACTGGGATGTGTTGGGAATCATTACCCCTTCATCTTTCAAGTGCTTGATTGTGGCACTAATCTCTGCAATCCCTCCAGGGATGCAATATTGTTTTTGATTTACTATTTTTCTAGGTAGAGGCAGCTCTAATGGCTTCCATTTGGCCTTTCCCACCATAGTAGCCCTCACTCTACCAGTCCGCGAGCCAATATGGGTATTCTGCCAGCTGCTAAGTATGTCTTTGTCAATTATGCATTCTAGCACAGGGAAAATAACCACAGGATGACTCCAGGGACCCACTGTAAGTAAGACCTGAGCTAAAATTCTATTAATCACATGACCTCCATAAGCCCCTACTCTAACTGGAGGGCCACAATGATGTTTTGGGTCCCCTGGAATCAATGTTAGCTCAGAGCCAGTGGCCAGTAATCCCCTAAAGTTGTGATCATTTCCCTTTCCCCAATGCACAGTTACCCTGGTAAAAGACTGGAGGTCTCTTTGGGAAAATGTGGGAAAATGATTAACAGCATAAATTGTTGGTAGTAGAGTGGGGTCCTTCCTCAAGGAGACTCAGCCTCCCCTTCATTCAAAGGGTTCTGGGTCTATAAAGTGGTTCAAGAATGGAAATTGATTGAGGGGCTATGATTCTCTATTTTTATAATTCAAATTAGTCTTTTGTCAACTTGACCTGGAAGTTTTCTGCTTATACAAGTTAAATAAGAATGTAATAGGCTTCCTATCAATGGCACTTCTAGGAACATCGTGATTAATTAACCAAATGCCAGAGTTCTACACAAGTCAGAGTAGTCTGATTGCTGCTTTACCTCTGCTGTTCATTATGGTAAATATACCCACCTTGCCTTTGACAACTGAGTGTCGCCACTTCTGCCACCTCAGGATTTAAGTTTTCCCATTGCATTTAAATTCTGTAATTGAGTGACTGTGGTTTCCACTGTAAGATCTGACATACAGAAAAGAGCCATCATAGAGCTCTTTAAGGATGCAGGTGCTCCCCTCACAATCAGTTTCTCAAGCTATTGGTGAAGGGCATGTCTTCTGAACCCTCCCAACTGAGATAAGTAGGTCTAAAGTGATTCTACATTCAACTTTCCCTAAGCCTTTGGACCCCTTCCTCTATAGTAAACCAAGGGAGATCAGGCATTTCCAGCTTACTCACAGTGGGCCATCTTTTGAACCATGTTTCAGCTAACGAAGCAAATAAATGATTAGAACCATTTTGAACTTTCCAAGCTGTAACATTAAATGCAGAATCCCTGCTTAGTGGGGCAATATCAATAAATTCAGTCTGATCCAACTTTATGTCCCCTCCACCATCATCCCACATACTTCATACTCATTCCCATACCTGTTCTCCAGATTTCTGCTTATATAAATTAGAAAACTCAAGGAATTATTTTGGAGAGTAGTGCACCTGCTCATAGGTCACACTCTGAACCTCATCTACAGGAGCCTGCCAAGACTTGAGTCTAGTTACAGATCTAGATGCAAAGAAGGGTGTTGGGAATGGGTCCCGAGGAGAATCAGCATTGTCTTGCCTGGCAACTGCCTCAAAGGAGGGCATCACTGTTGCCTCAGGCAGTGTAGGGTTGATCTCCTTAGACAAAGGTGGAAAGACTGATGGCAGCATGGGTCAGGGAGGGGATGTTGAGACCTCTGAGGGTGAGGAGGTTGTTTCCTCTGGCAAAAATGGCTCATCAGAATTTATAAGCTCAATGTCCCCAGGTTCATCAGTGTTCTCCACACATCCCCATTCCGAGTTGCAGGGTCCCATACTTTCCCAATTTCTCCCTTTAACAGTAGACACCTGGCAAGACTAAGCATGCACCTTTCCTGTTGTAGGTCACCCACTTGCATGATAAGTGCATGTGTCTAATTATCTACAATTTCAGCCCTTTTTCTAGGGGAGAGCAGACTCTCACAGCAATCTCAGAAGATTTGAGGTTCAGTATGTGCTTCTGGAGCTGGGAGTTAGAATCCCTGTGTTCATCCTTTTCTTTCATCACGTCTTCCAGTGAACTAAGGAGCAACCAAGCAACTTCATTATATTCCTTGGTTCTCCACATATGGACAAAGGTATTATGTACAGAGCTGCTAAACTCCTTGCCTCTCAAGAGTGGTGAATCAGGAGTATCAAATGCACTAATTAGGCATAACTCTCTAAACAGTTAATGACAAGTGTTCTCTATACCACTAGAAGTAGAGTCCTTATCAGTGTTCTCTATATACTAGAGGTAGAGTCCTTATCAGTGTTCTCTATACTACTAGAAGTAGAGTCCTTATCAGTGTTCTCTATACTACTAGAAGTAGTGTCCTTAACATTTTTGGATCTAATAAGATTAAGCAGCCAACTCCAGAAACCCCCGAACCAACTTTAGAAATCTAGCCTTAAAATTCTGTTCCACTGGAACCACTCCTGGTATCCAAATCTGTATTAGTCAGGGTTTTCTAGAGGGACAGAACTATTATAACAAGATATGTGTATATATGAAAGGAGTTTATTAAGAAGAATTGACTCACACAATCACAAGGCAAAGTCCCATGGTAGGCCATCTCAAGCTGAGGAGCAAGGATGCCAGTAGGGGCTCAGTCCAAGTCCCAAAACCTCAAAAGTAGGGAAGCTGCCAGTGCAGCCTTTATTCTGTGGCCAAAGTCTCAGGAGCCCCTGACAAACTGCTGGTGTAAGTCCAAGAGTCCCAAAGGCCAAAGAACCTGGAGTCTGATGCTCATGGGCAGGAAGCATCCAACATGGGAGAAAGATAAAGCCTGGAAGACTCAGAAAATCAGCTCATTCCACCTTCCACCTGCTTTTTCTATCAGGTTAGCAGCTGATTGAATGGTGCCCACCCAGATTGAGGGTGGGTCTGCCTCTCCCAGTCCACTGACTCAAATGTTAATCTTCCCTGGCAACTCCCTCATAGACACAACCAGAAACAATACTTTGCATCCTTCAATCCAATCAAGTTGCCGCTTAATATTAACTATCCCAAGTGATAAGTTAGATGTATCTTCTATCTGCTCCTGAGAGCCAATTGTTAAAATTTTAGAAGTCCTATAAGCTTGTTATATGTAGATATTATTTAAAATTAATATTAACTTGCAATTAAATAAATTATATAAAAATGAAGGTAATAAATACTCAAAGGTTTTTACTTCCCAAGTTATTTTACTTGTCACTGATGCAATAA